AATTTCTCTTTCTTTGAGTGGGTTGGGATTTGATGGCTCACTTCTAACAAACTAGACATAACAGTGTATGACTTCAGATACTATGTTATAAAAGGGCACTTTAGCTTCCATCTTGATTGCTCTTACTGAGATTACTTGCTCTGAAGGAAGCTGGCTGCCTTGTCTTGAACAGTCCTGGTGATGCCCTGATGGCATAGAACAAAGGCCTCCTGAGTAGCCACATGAGTGAACTGCATTGATCATCCTGTGTCAGTCAAGTGACTTCAGGTGACAGCAGCCTAGTCTACATTTTGATCACAGCCTCAGGGAGACAACCATCCAGCTAAGCCCACTTAGCCAGAATCATCGAGCTAAGCTGTTTCTGAACTCCTAATCTTTAGAAAAAGAAATAATGTTGTTGTTTTTCTTAGCCTACTGTGTTTTGAGATAACTTATTACACAGTAATAAGTAATAGACTGAGAATTTGTTGTGACACTCTTTTTTTTTTTGTAATATCTGTATCCTATGCAATAATGACACTGAATTTTCTTCCTTTTTAAAAGGCTAAACTTGACTGGGCACAGTGTCTCACTCCTGTAATCTCAGCACTTTGGGAAGCAGAGGCAAGAGGATTGCTTGAGCTCAGGTTAACTAAGGCCTATGGCAAGATCTTGTCTCTACAATAAATAAATAAAAAATTAGCTGGGTATGGTGGCACACACCTGTAGTCCCAGCTACTTGAGAGAGGCTAAGACAAAAGTATCACCTGAGCCCAGCAGGCCAAGGCTGCAGTAGCCATGATTGTGTCACTCCAGCCTGGACAATAGAGTAAGACTCTGACCCCCCAAAAAGGCTAAACTTGCTTAAGGTTTGGAAAACTCTTAAATATTTTTTATTTGACTTTTTGGAAACCATTTTACTGAATCTGTCTAAGGTGTTGTTAAATAAGTTTCTTCACCATTCTATCTTTAGCTTTGGAGTTCTGAAATACTGTTAATTTATAGTTATTCAATTTTTAGAGAAATCAAGGAAAACTAGCCACTGAATGTTATGAGTTTTGTTTTCTTCCTTGGTATATAGGAACTCCGTTTTTGTAGCTATGACAGGTATTGGGTGCCAATAAGTAAACATGAAAAAACCTTAAGTTTTAGATGGAGAAAGAAAATAAAGAAGCCCATTTCAGTATATTAAACAAATAAACATAAAAAGACCAATAAAGAAAACCAGGTTACCTGTCAGCTGCTGCCTGGCTAGGACACCGTCATCCAGCAGGAATCACTTAATAGACTGTAAAATCAAAACTCAAGAGTCACCAGTGCTGCCATCTGTGTTGACACAATTGTCCACGTGCTCAGTCAGAACCAGAACCAGAACCAGGCTTTGCCAGGAATTCAATTTAGTGCATATTGCTCAGTTACTTTTTTTTTTTTTTGTAAAGCAGGATTTATTAAGAAGACAGAAAAGCTACCACATTGAGAGGGGACCCAAGGGTGTTGCCCTGCTCAGTCACTTGTATGAGGAAGATTAACTAAGGATCCAGGAGTTCAGGTCTCACTTTCAAGCCTCATGTTTGCCTCTCATGTTAGGACACAGAGGGACAATATATCAGTGAAACCTCCAAAAAATAAATGTAAAATAAGGAATCAGTGACCTTTGGTTGGTTATTTCACACACCGTTAAGTTATTTTGCACACAGCTTGTTTTTATACATGTTAAAACCAGGTTTGATAAACGAAAAGAGAGGAACATTGTAGGTCTTTTTTTTTTTTTGAGGTGTCTCTGTCACCCAGTGGCATGTTCCTGGCCACTGCAGCCTCGACCTGCTGGATTCAGGGGATCCTTCCACCTCAGCCTTCCAAGTAGCTGGAACTATAGGTGCATGCTACCACACCCAGCTAATTTTTTTGATTTTTTTTGTAGAGAGGAGGTCTCACCATGTTACTCAGGCTGGTCTTGAGCTCGCAGGCTCAGGCAATCCTCTCACCTTAGCCTCCCAAAGTGCTGGCTTGAGCCACCACGCCCGGCCCATTGTAAGTCTTGTTTGCACATTCTATGGGTAAACTGGTTAGCTAACAGCTACAAAGGAGTCAGTTTGGGCACTCCGCCCTTGTGAAGGCAGTCTAAGGATATAAAAAGCACTATTTTAGTTTGTTTTTTAATTTGTAAAAGGAATCAAATGCAAAAGTTAAGAGATAAACAAGATTGAAACAGTAGATAAAGCTATGTAAGTTTCAAACCACTGTTACTTTTAAGTGTGAAACTTGCTTTTTGTAATGATTTCATTTACTATAACTCAAAGGAATTAAATAAATTAATTTTTTTGCTATTAACTTCAAATACTGAAAACACAGTCAGTGATCCTAAAAGTCATAAGGTACTTCAAGTAGATAACTCACATTTTGTAACTTTAGCTTGCAACTCTTTCAAAGTTTATCTATACTTTTCACTTTTACTCAAAACCACTTTTCTTTAATTCATTGTTTTGCCCCTCAAACCTTAACTTCAATTAAAAAAAACCAGACAAACCACATAGTAACTTTTAAGAGAGACCAAAAAGACATGTTTTTTTATTTTTTTTTTTTTTTTTTATAAAGCTTACAGCACCTTGTATTCCTAGACAGTCTCCCATCCAAGTACTGCTAATCAGGGCCTTAGCTTCCAAGTTGCCATAGACAACTTTCCTGTAATGATAATTGGTAGTTCCTCTTATCCGGTTTCAAATATCTGCACAATTTTTTGTAGCAAAATTTAATATCTGCCTGACCGTCTCCTAGATTTCCAAAAATTCTGCATTCATACACACACCACTGCTCCCATCACTACCACCATTGCCACTTGTTGTTATATGCATCTGGCATATAATGTATCTAATCAGGAGCTGACTGTAATTGGTTTCATTTTCCTTATGTCCTCTTAGTACTGACTACTGTATAATCAGTCATAGAAATTACAGTATTGGTTTTTGAGAAAGTAAAGTCAGTCCTTTTTCATCTGGGCATTCTTAATTTCATATTTGTCTTTTCTGAGTTAAGTTTTGAAATAGTTCATAGGTTTTTCACAATATTTGATGAGGAATAATGAGTTGTCTGAAGTATATTAGATAGTATATAGTCTTATATTGTAATAGCCAAGTGGCAAGAAATTTTCAAATAGACAACTTTTTTTTTTTTAAGTCAAAGTCTCACTCTGTCACTCAGGCTGGAGTGCAGTGGCACAATCACAGCTCACTGCAGCCTCAATCTATGGGCTCAGGCAACCTTCCCACCTCAGTGTCCCAAGTAGCTGGGATTACAGGTGCATACCACCCTGCCAAGCTAATTAATTGATTATTTTATTTTATTTTGTGGAGATGGGTCTTGCTATGTTGCCTAGCCTGGTCTTGAACTTCTGGGCTCAAGCATTCCTCCTGCCTTGGCCTCCCAAAGTACCTGTAATCCCAGCCTCACATCTTTCATTTTATTTATTGTGCTATTTGGTAGTTGGTAAAGTTCACAAAGAAAACATACTGACAAAGCTTCACCACATGTCTGGATTTTATTGTCTGTAAGCTTCAAAGAAATATATGGAAAATACAATTTCTTGTCTACTCATTTAATTTTTAAATGTTTTATAGTCATGGTGAATGTGAAGTATTCCAGAACAACTGAGATAGTCATTGGTGAAAAATTCTGAGCATCTGAATCATGTTCTCATTTAGTTCTTTAACTCATTACATATAACTTCAAAATTATATCCTGGTACTTTTGTACCTTAAATATCATAGGGGTTTATGAGAAAGGATTTAGAAATCATGAAGTAGTAGACTATATAAAGCATTAGTTACTTGGTTTTAACTAAGCAACCTATTGTAAGAAAATTCCCTTAGGCGATCCCCAACCTCAGAGACTGGTTGGTTTCATGGAAGACAGTTTTTCCACTAATGGGGACAGTAGGGTATAGATTCTGGATGACTCAATCACATTACATTTATTGTGTACTTTATTTCTATTAGTATTACATTGTAATAGATAATGAAATAATTAAATAACTCTGAAATAAGTTTGGCATTCGGGACTGGTTTCATGGAAGACAATTTTTCCACTAATGGGGATAGTAGGGTATAGATTCTGGATGACTCAAGCACATTACATTTATTGTGTATCAGTGGGAGCCCTGAATTTGTTTTCCTGCAACTAGACAATCCCATCTGGGGGTGATGGGAGACAGTGACACCTAAAGTGTGTTGCTGTCAGGTCTACTCCATAATCTCGGTTTAGTTGCTGTCATTGCAAAAAAAAAAAAAAAGAACCCTGCTTCACAAAGAAAGGATGTTGGAAATGGAAACAACCTTTTCAGTGCTGATTTGACAGGCGGTGGAGCTCAAGTGATGTGCAATAGAGAGCGTCCGTAAATACATACAGATGAAGCTCACTTACCTGCCGCTCACCCTCTGCTGTGTAGCCCGGTTCCTAACAGGGTGGCCCAGGAGTAGGGGACCCCTGCCCTAAGGAAACTATGACATAGGTTACCATGTCACTTACATTTATACTTGGCCTGCAGAATATGGATCATAAGTTTACCTCAGTAAGAATAGTAGAGTGGAATGCTTGCTTATTCCGTGACCTTCAACTATTATTTATTGTCTAATGCTCAAAGAAAGCATAGTTTGAACCACATCGTTTGTGCTGAGTCACATGTTCTTTTCTTCATTCTAATTGTATTCTAATTGTATCGAATTTTATTCTGTTTGTTGTTTACATTCTCTTCTTTCTAGTTGCCATATGTATACTTTAGGATGGTAAGGTACAGAAAAGGATTGGAGTGAAGTAGTAAGAAAGAAAAAAAATTAGCATTTCCATCCTGAAATGAAAAGTACTGTTAATGTGTCATACTAAATATGGATGTTTATCTATTTCATTGTATACCCAATAATTTTTTTCTTTCTAATCTGAATTTCATAATTGGATCTAAATTATTTTACCATATTTATTACCAAGTAAACTTAACACAAAGTTGCTAATTTGTTATTCTGTTCTTACAGTTTTCAGCATATGATTTCATCCCCTCTCCAAAATTAAAGCCCTCTCAAGGAATGCCAGTCAATGATGATTTATGTTTTAGCAGGAGAAGAGTGTCAAGAAACTTATTTCAGAATAGTCGGGATTTTAACCCAGATTCTCTTTCTGTATGTGCTGCTGGTAAGTACATGTTGCAGAAAATGGACGAGATGAACCAGGTTAAAGAATTCTCTATTTCATAGAGAATTCAAGTATTCATAGAACTTATAATGTAATAGGCAATTAAGATTCAGTAAATTATTTATTGAAGATCTGATAAGAATGGACACTTTGGCATTATTATCTCATGAGATCGTGGAAGGGTTTCTCATTGAAATTTGTAAAGTAGTAATGTAGGGAAATACTTGCTTAATAAGCCAACCATATTTATTGAGCATCTCTTTTTGTCAAGTACTTTTCTAAGTACTGATGATCTACCTAGGAGAGCTTGCATTTGAGCTGAGGCAGGAAGTAGACATTAAATAAGTGCAAGACATAGTAGGTCAGATGATGATAAATGCTATAGAGAAAAGTAAAACAGAAAGAAGGCCATATTCAGTAGGGAATATTTGAAGCAAATGACTAGATAACGGGAGAAAAGAGCAAATAATTTCAGGAAGAGGGAACAGTCAGTGCAGAGTAACTAAGATGGAAGTATGCGGGACATATTTGAGAAATATCAAAGAGGCTGGTATATCTCATAGGAGTAAGGGGAAGAGAAATAGAAAATTAATAAGGAGATAATAAGGATCCTTATTTATATGGCCTAATATACCGTTGAATGAACTTTAGCTTCTACTCTAAATGAAGAACATTCTGAGGAAAGAAGTGACATCACTTGCCTTATGTTTCCCAGGCTCATTTTGGATGTTATGTTTAAAGTTAATGAAAGGGGGGCAATGGCAAAAAACAGTAATCCTGGCTAGAGCTGGGTGGAGGTTTTAACCAGGATAGCAGTGAACTGGAATGACTGGTTCTGATTATATTTCAAATGTAAGGTTGATATAATTTGCCGGTAGATAAGTGTAAAGTGTAAGAAAGAGAAGACAAGAATTCACTAAGGATTTGGGGCCAGAAGAGCTGGAAAGTTGTTTAATTGCCACTGTGTTACAGAAAGTAAATATTGAGATAATTTAGAGGACATGTTCATTGTTATTGGCCATATCAGTTAGAAACTGCATCTTGTTGGGATGCATATAATAGAAGTAGTTAGAGGAAAGGTAGGAAAAGGCTTGAGATATTCTGAGAGTGGTGTCAAGACAAGATTGATTTTAAATGGTGAAAGATAGATTGGGGCCGGGCTCAGTGGCTCAGCCTGTAATTCCAGCACTTTGGGAGGCTAAGGCTAGTGGATTGCCTGAGCCTGCAGTTTCAAGACTAGCCCAGGCAACTTGGCAAGACCTCATCTCTACAATAAATCAAAAATTAGCTGGGTGTGGTAGCATGCGCCTGTAGTTCTGGCTACTTGGAAGGCTGAGACGGAAGGATTGCCTAAGCCCAGTAGATCAGCGCTGGTGTGGCTATGAGTGTGTGTGCCACTGCACTCCAGCCTGGGCAACAGAGCGAGACTTCAACTCGGAAAAAAAAAAAGAAAGAAAGATAGATTGGGATATGGGAACCTTTGTGTGCTATGCTAAAAAATGTGAGCTTGTGCTTGTAAGCGATAAGTACTAATAGACATTATTATTATTATTGTTATTATTATTATTATTATTTTGCAAAAAAAGATAGGGTAACAAGGTTGTTTGTAAGTGGATTAGGAAGGAATAATTAGAATGATGTGGTGACCTGATATAAAAGATGAAGAAAAAGAACAGGTTCAAGATTTAGCACCCAGGTAATTAGAAAAATGGTAGTGTATTGACAAAATGATACAAGGTGAAAGGAAAAAATAATTTAGAAGGTAAAGATTGAGTATATTGCAGATTTTAAAATGTATTTAACATCCAAATTATATAATCCAAATTTTTGACTATGAGTTCAGATACAATATTCAGCAAATATTGTTCCCCAGGAGAATTTATAGACCTTATTCAGTTAAATTCTATCACATTTTTATACAAAAATTAAATGTTACCACGATTGTATAGTTTAATTTGTTTATTTACTAGAGAAAAAGAAATGCAAGAATATCTTCAGTTTGTACCATTATTCTTTTTTTATGAGTGTCCATAGTTTCTGTGCCACTGAGAAGCACATTACCTATCTGTACAGATTTTAAACAACTGGACAATAAGACAGTATATAATGTAATGCTAGATTAGATGATACAAATTATAAATACTATAGAGATTCGAGAAATGAAGAGATCATAGATATTGAAATGGTTTCAGAAAATTGCGGGAAAGAGATTGAGTTTCGCTTTAAAGTTTGACTTGTCAGTGAGGCAAGAGGAACTGTTGCAGGCAGGGAGAAAGTATAACCAAAAACATGGATGTGGAAATTAACTTAGAAGATGTCTGGTACATGAAAAATAAAGAGACTTGTTTGATATCATCAGGAGAGAATTCTTTTTTAATCATAGAATTTCAGAAGTACAAAGGACCAGCTAATTTATAAATGAATAACCTGAATGCCAGAAAGGTCATTATTACCTCTTTTTCTTTAGACCTATTCACCTGCCCAGGAACACCATTAATCTGGGTAAGAGATCCAGGAAACATACCTGAAACTTGGAAACCACACAAATACCGTGTAGTGTATCAGAAAAGAAAGTAAAAGAATTCTGTAGTATAACTTTTTGGTAGTGTACATACTGTAAATATTGGGAAGAAGGAAAACCAGCTCTGGAGAAATATTTCGTGATGAGAGCTGGAGAGTGTAGAAAGAAAATGTCTTTATGTATATGCTTCAACATACCTTTCCTTTCCCTATTCTTTACCAGACTATCTTCTGTCCTTTAACTCCTGTCACTAATTAGATTGCTAATATTTAAAAGTTTTATCTTTTTCTGACTGCCTTGCTCACTGTACTTATACTTCTATACTCACACTCAAATTACACCAACATTTGTGAAGAAAGTTGTATTCATGAAATAAAGTGAACTTTTATGTTTTTTCTGCTCCTTCCTTTAAAAGGTACTACTGGGACTCATCAAACAAATCTTTCTGGAAAATATGGACAGCTTGGATTTTCAAAGATATGTGGTAAAACTGGCAGTGTGGATTCTGACTTACAATTCCTGGGCACAACTAGTAGTCATCAAGATAAAGGTATAAATTTCAAGTTCATTTGAAAACAAATGACTTAAAAATATTATGTGGATTTCCAACACTAGCTTATGTTATTTTGTGTAATTATACTCATCACAAAAAAAGAAAAGGGGGCCGGGCTTGGTGGCTCAGCCTGTAATCCCAGCACTTTGGGAGGTCAAGGTGAGTGGATTACCTACGCCCACGGGTTTGAGACCCACCTGGGCAACTTGGTGAGACCTCATCTCTACAATACATCAAAAATTAGCCGGGCGTGGTAGCACACGCCTGTAGTTCCAGCTACTTGGAAGGCTGAGGCGGAAGGATCACCAGAGCCCAGCAGGTTGAGGCTCTGGTGGCCGGGAGCGGCCACTGCACTCCAGTCTGGGTGACAGAGTGAGAGTCCAACTCAAAAAAAAAAAATTTTGTCATTTTTTAATAACTTTTTAAATGATTGTTACCCTAAAATGTTAGATTCCTTTATATCTAATGTAATCATTGTTAAATATGACTAATTAAAATTAGATTTTAGAAACTTATAGTGGAGATGAGTATTTATTTTTTATTTTTATGTATACATAATGGTTGTACATATTTATGGGATTCATGTGATATTTTGATACAAACATACAGTGTGTAATGATCAAATCAAGGTAATTGAGATATGCCTCACTTCAAACATTTATTACTTCTTGGTGTTGGGAACATTACAAATTTATTTCTCTACTTATTGTGAAATATACAATAAATTATTGTTAACTATAGTGACTGTATTGTGCTGCTGAACACTAGATCTTATTTCTCATATCTAACTGAATATTTCTACCCATTAACCAACCTCCTTTTATCTCCCTCCTTCCCACTATCCTTCCCAGCTTCTGGTAACCATCATTCTGTTCTCTATTTCTGTGAGATCAATTTTTTTAGCTCCCACATATGAGTGAGAATATGTAATACTTCTCTTTCTGTAACATAACCCAATGACTTCCAGTTCCACCCCATATTGTTGCAAAAAAAAAAAGCACAGGATTTTATTCTTTTTTATAAATCAGTAATATTGTGTATATGTGTTACATTTTATTTATCCATCCACTGATGAACACTTAAATTGATTCCATACCTTGACTGTTGTAACTGGTGCTGAAATAAACTTGGGAATACAGATACTCCTTCCATATACTGATTTTCTTTCTTTTGGTTATATACCCAGCAGTTTTTGGAGGAACCTCCATATTGTTCTCCCTAGTGGCTATACTAATTTACATTCCTAATGCTTATAATAAAAGTTTATGAGCATTCCTCATTCTTGGCATCCTTGTCACCTTTTGTTATTTTTTGTCTTTTTTGTTAAAAGCCATTTTCACTAGGGTAAGATGATATCTCATGGTGGCTTTGATTTGCGCTAGACTCCTCTCTCTCACCACATATGAAAAATCAAATCAAAATGGATTAAAAGTCTAAGACCTGAAACTGAAACTTCTAAAAGAAAACATTGGGAAATACTTCAGGAAGTTGATCTGAACAAAGATTTTGTCAGTAAGAACTCAAAAGCACAGGCAACCAAAACAGAGGTGGACAGATGGGACCACATCAACTTAAAAAGCTTCTGCATAGGAAAGGAAGCAGTCATCAAAGTGAAGAGACAACCCACAGAATGGGAGAAATATTTGCAAACTATTCAATGAACAAGGGATTAATAACAGAATATACAAGGAACTCTATAGGAAAAAACCCAAATAATCCAATTTTAAAATGTACAAAAGATCCAAATAGACATTTTGCAAAAGAAGACATACATTTGGCCAGCAGGTATATGAAAAAATGTTCAACATGATTAATCATCAGAGAGATGAACATTTTAATACCATGTCATTGGAAATAATGTTATTCATTAAGGAGTACTGTGTTAGCAGACAATTATTTTTCATAATTCTAAGGCTATTTAGAATTTATTATGTCTCGTTAGGAATCCTAACTTCCTGACACGGCGTAAGATAAGGAAAGGAAAGATTTGAGACTGGTTGTCAGTCATACGAGTTTTGGGGTTGAAGATGAATAGCTTTAATAATTATTACATAGAGGTAGGAGCCACTTAAATATTTCTAGAGGTATTTTAAATTTTGTTGTATGTCCTTTACTAATTTTTTTTGAGTGATAGGGCTATACTTCCATATTTGTTGTGAAAAATAATGATCATTTAAAATTAGTAAAGAAGATTTAGTACATACAGCACTTATTTTTAGCTACATCTTTCTCTACTCACTCCAAAGACCCATGTGACCCCTTCAAGTTATTCTTTGTAATATCATCCACAACACAATAAAATAGTCCATCTTAAAGATATGGGTATTTTCTAAATTTTGACTCTTGAATACCTTTGGGACTCATGATTAGTAGAAGCAGAGAGGGGTTGCTTTGTTATTTACCCTGTTCCTGTTTAGGCTATCCCTTGAATGATTACTTTTGAGGACTGTCTCTAGGTGTTTAATCAGATCTGCATAGTGGCTCTGGTTTTCTGTAACCTCTCAGAATACTAGAGTAGCTAGTATAAATGAATGTTCTGTTCTTCTAAAGTTAATAATATTTAACCTAATATTGGTTATACATTAAAAATTCTAGCCGAGTGTGGTAGCTCACGCCTGAAATCCCAGCACTTTGGGAGGTGGAGGTAAGAGGATTGCCTGAGCCCAGGGGTGCAAGACCAACCTACGCAGCTTGGCAAGACCTCATCTCTACAATAAATCAAAAAATTAACTGAGCCTGGTGGTGCATGCCGACAGAGTAAGACCCCGACAGTGAGACCCCAACTCAAAAAAAAAAAACAAACTAAACTAAACTAAAATCTGATTATCTCTGTCATTTAATAGTTAAGTTCTTTGTTTTGTTTGAGCCTACTGGGCTCAGGCAATCCTTCCACCTCAACTTCATAAGTAGCTGAGTAACGTACCATCACACCTGGCTATTTTATTTTATTTTATTATTTGTAGAGATGGATTCCTTCTTTGTTACTTAGGCTGGTCGAACTCCTGGGCTCAAGTAATCCCCCCACCTCGGCCTCCCAAAGGACTGGGACTACAGGTGTGAGCCACCTCACCCAACCATTTTTTAGTTTTTATTTTTTTCATTAAAATGCTATTTTTAAGAACCCCACCCAAAATATATCAGTATAGATTGGGAGAAAGTAAAGCATGGAAAAGATAACACTAGGCAAAGTTATCTCTCAAAGAAAAGCAGATGTAAATATGTTGATGATAGGGAAAATATGCACACTAAAGGTAAAAAACATAGGGCCAAAGAGAGTCATTACAATGAGAACTAGAAAAGTTCACTACAAAGATAAGACTTTTCTGATATGTGTGTGTGTGTGTACATGTGTGTGTGTACATACACATGCTTATGTGTATATGTACATGTTTAATTTGACAAAATTGCATGGAGAAAATTAATAAATATAAATGTTAGCAAATTTTAATATGATGAAGTTTTGGATTAGAAGGCACAGAATATTTGACCAACACAAATTAAATGAGATCTTTATTTCAGATCATACAAAAATATAAACATCAGATGAAGTGAATTTCATCTGAATATGAAAAGCAAAAAACTTTAAACTTCTAGAAAATGTGTATGCATAAATAACATATTCTGCTTTGTTACAGTGTATTCTAGCCTAAATTTTGGCAGTAAGACACAGCAAACATTTGGTAGTCAAACAGAACGTACATCATCATACTCTGGTTCTAATCCAAGTCCAGGAACCTACATCCTTCCATCCTATCCTCTCTCATCGCCTCGAACAAGCCCAAAGCACACATCTCCAAAGAAGTCTCAAGATAATTCTATTAATTTCTCAAATTCCTGGCCTCTTAAAAGCTTTGAAGGACTGTCAAAGCCAAGTCCACAGAAAAAGCTTGTCAGCCAAAAATCATCTGATCCTACAGGTAAAAATGAAAAATACTTTGAAAAGTATAAAATTTATTTGTATGTTCTAATTAGTACTTAGGAGTTAATACATAAGATGGATAGATCTTTAAAAGCTGGTAAATTACATTTTATCTCTAAATTAGTAAATATTTCTGAAAATATTTAACAGATTGGATGAATACTATTAAATTCTTTTTATAAATATAAACTGAAATTTTCATACTAATTTATAGCTTTAACAATCATATAGAGGTAGGAACAAATTATTTATAGAAGTATTTTCAATTTTGTATGTACTGTACTAAATTTTTTTGAGTGTAGGGATATGCTTCTATATTTGTTATGCATTTGTTGCAACATTTCTAATATAAACAGATTAAATATATAATATAGAATTCAGTTGAAATTGTCATTATTTTCTTATAGTGCCACTTCAAAACTCTTTTTCAGAACTAGGCAAATAATAATGCTTTATAATCGACAGAAACAGCATATGGTGCCTGAGAGTCCACTAACAATTTTTAGCTTTACAAATATAAAATGCCATGTATGTTTGTGCCGTTTACTATAATTAATGCCTAGTACTCATTTATTCAACATTTATTGAATGTTTATTATATACTAAAATTATTTGGAAATATTTTCTATTATTATGAAATAAAATAGTCTTTTTCTTAACAATAATCCATTCTCAAAATCATGAAATTAACACATATAGTTTCATTTAAGACAAATCCATTCTCAAAAAGTCTATTAAAGGCATCTCCTATATCCCACATGCTTTTCTTTCTCCTGCTGTTGAGGTAAGATGTTTCATCCTTACCCCACACCATGTTTAATTTATTGCATATTAAATTTTATTACTTCCTCTTAGCACTAAACCTTCATTCCCTTTTTTAAATTTTGTTCTATGTTTGTTTTTCCTACAAGATCAAATCTTGTACTGAAAGCTGAGACTTTATTCAGCTTGTTCTCCCTAGTTCCCAGTATTACTGCTTTGCATATAGTAGTCATTCAAATGTACGAGGGGACCTCCCCCCAAAAACGGCATTTATTTATAATAAATTGTGTATTTATTTTTACATGTTTAAACTTCAGTCACCTTCAAAATTCTCTCCATTTGATACAATACACCTATCAACATGCTTTTTCTGCCGCTCAAAACAGTTTTTGAACGCAGCAATTTTGATGCCTTTTAGTGCTTCTGCCATTTTTTTGTTTTACCTCTTTCACATCAGCAAAATGATTCCCTCTGAGGACTTTTTTCATCAGGGAAACAAAAGTCGCCTAGGGTGAGAGTGGGTGAATAGGGAGGGGCGGTCATGGAGGTCATGCCATTTTTAGTCAAAAACTACTGAACACTCAGAGCAGTGTGGGTAGATGCACTCCTAAATCACTCATCATGAAATGGGCAAACGCGTTGAAAGAATCTCCAAAAAAAATTCACTAAGGCCAAGCATAGCCTTCCACAACAGTGCTAGCTAGTATACTGATGCCAATGGGTTCCTAGAACACTTACCTAGCACAGGAAGCCTGTATTATAAAGGGCCTGCCCTCCAAAAGATAATTCTGGGTTTTTCAGGGGGGGGGTTCCTCCCTCATAATTAAATCAAGCCAGAAAAGTAGCTCTTCTAATTTATTATGACCTTTGCCATGACAATTATTAGTCATGATTATGTGTATGAAGATAAATAACAAAAATGTAACTTGGTATATAGTATTTTTATATAGTATGATAGGATTTGAAGTCTCTTATTTTTATGATATTCATTAAAGGATACTAATACTTTTATCTCATTTTAAATAATAATCTTTATTTCTAATAAAAGTGACTGTGCTTTTTTATTTAAAAACAGTATATTTCAAATACTTTGTACTGTAAGTCTCTCTTTTCTAAAATTAAAAAAAAGAAAAAGTGAAATATATATTTTTCATGCAGGGGAAAATTCTCAAGAAAAATCTTCTCCAGTTCAGCTTATACCTGCCTTGGTGAGATCACCATCTTCCCGACGAGGCCTAAATGGGACAAAGCCTGTCCCTCCCATACCACGGGGACTAACCCTTTTGCCTGATAAAACTGATTTAAGCACAGTGGGACACCAAAAGAAAGAGCCTGATGATATTTGGAAGCATGAAAAAGACAGTCTTGTAATTGATCTTTCAGAATTAAATTTCAAGGATAAAGATTTGGATCAAGAAGAGGTTAGAACCAAATAGCATTTTTAATAATTTAAAAATATTTATATATGTAATTATATATAATATATTTAAAATATTTTTATTTTTAAGTTATATATAGTTGGTATTTAAGGAAAAGATCAAGTACTTTTTGTCGCATAACATTTCTTATTTATAAAAATATTTCATGTTTATTCTAGAAAATGTGAAAAATACAATGAGTTATTAGGAAGGATATTCATCTCACCAGATCCCACTAGCTGGAATAATTTACTGTTATTACTGTAGTGTTTCCTTCAAATATTTTTCTATATATATATAATACCTTTTAAAGTTAAAAGTATAAATAATAATGTAGCAGTATACCCATTCACGGACCTCTCCCAATGAACAATTTATCATATTTATTTCCTATTTTTTAAATAAATGAAACATGACACAGTTCTCCCCCCAATCCAATTTCTCCCCCTTTTTACCAGAACCTATATTACCTTTTTGTTGTTGTTGTTTTGAGGCAGGGTCTCTCTCTCTCTCTCTCTCTCTCTCTCTCTGTCTCCCAGACTGAAGTGCAGTGGCACAATTCCAGCTTACCGCAGCCTCCTCTTGGACTCAAAGGATCCTTTTGCCTCAGCCTCCCGAGTAACTAGGATCCCAGGCATTTGCCACCATGCCCAGTTAATTTTTGTATTTTTTTGTAGAGTCAAGTTCTTGCTATGTTGTCCAAGCTGGACTTGGACTCCTGGGCTCAAGCACTTCTTCCACCTTGGCCTCCCAAAGTGCTGAGATTACAGGTCTGAGTCACTGTACCTGCCTACTGTCACCACTAATTCATGTTTTATGTATTTTTGTAACTTTATGTTATTACACTATTCTTATGTACTAGTTTATTTATGGTGCGTCCATACAGTTGATTTGGGCTTATTACCAATCTTTTGCTATTGTAAACAATGCTCACTTAATGTACTTCAACCTGTCCTTTGTGCAAATGTATATATCTTTATGAAATTGAGCGAGGCGCATTGGTTCATGCCTGTAATTCCAGCATTTGAGGAGGCTGAGGTGAGATAATTGCCTGAGCAACATGGCGAGACATCATTTCTACAATAAATGAAAAAGTTAGCTGGGCGTGGTGGTGTGGGCCTGTAGTCCCAGCTACTCCAGGGATTGAAGTGGAAGGATTACCTGAGCCCAGGAGGTCAAATCTACAGTAGCCATGATCGTGCCACTGCACTCCACCCTGGGCAACAGAATGAGACTCCAACTTAAAAATAAAACAAAACCAAAAAAAAAGGAATTGAGATCATATTGTATACTCATCTTTGAAGCCTAGATCACTTTGTTTATGCTATAAAATGTGTTGCTAATGTGATAATTCTGTGCATACTAATTATGTCAGAGAAAATAATGTGGTTGCTGTATTACTTTGGATTCAGACTATTTCCATAGATAGCTCTTTTTAATCATTTCACTTTGATGTCAGGTTTTGAAGAAATGTTTTACATTAAATATATAAGTGAAAAACACTCAACTATATTATTATATGGTTTTGTTTTACATGTTTTTTGTTGTTGTTTTTTAGAGACAGAACCTTGCTCTGTTGCCCAGGCTAGAGGGTAATGGTACCATTATACCTCACTGCAACCTTGAATTCCTGGGCTCAAGTGATCTTCCTGCCTCTGCCTCCTGTGTAGCTGGTACTACAGATGCACACCACCACTCCTGGCTAATTTTTTTTCATTTTTTGTAGAGATGAGGTCTTGCTATGCTGTCCAAGCTGGCCTGGAACTCCTGGGCTCAAGTAATTTTCCCACCTCCGCCTCCCAAAGTGGTAGGAATATAGGCCTGAGCCACCACGCCCAGCGATAGTCTTGTTTTAGGTTGTTTTTAAAATATAAGCATCATATAATTATAGTTTGCTCAGTAAAATAATACTAGTTCATATTCATTTAAAAAGTGTTTCTTTAACATTAAAATGTGTAATACTAACTTATAAAGTACCAGAATTGGTTCTTTTTTTTTTTTTTTTTTTTTTTTGAGTCAATGTGTCACTCTGTCACCCAGACTGGAGTGTAGTGGCATGCTCATGGTTACTGCAGCCTCAACCCTGCTGAGCTCAGGCAGTCTTTCACCTCAACCTTCCACCTTACCTCAATAGCTGGAACTACAGGTGTGTGCCACCATGCCTGGTTAATTTTTTTTATTTATTGTAGAGACAAGGTCTCGCCAAGTTGTCCAGGCTGGTCTCAAACCCTTGGGCTCAGGCAGTCCTCTCGCCTCTGCCTCCCAAAGTGCTGGGATGGCAGACATGAGCCACCACACCTGGCTGGGTTCTTAATAAATTAGTCACTCCAGCCTTTAACTGCTTATGAAATCTTTCTTTGATTTTTTTTCCAACTCCTTTATATTTCACTTGTGCTAGGAAGGGAATTCATTTGAAGGGAAGAAACATAGAAAAGGTGTTTTTCTACATAACCCCAAAATTTCGCCTGATTCTATACAATTTTGCATTATTTCTATGATAACCTAAAAATTGTGCTTTTTCTTTTATTGGATAATTGAAAGATGAGTTTCTTTTATATAATTATTAGTAAATACAAGAGATACTATTGTATTCAATCTTCCAAGCATTTAATAGAGAAGTGACCCTACTATTGCATCAACCAAAATCATTGTTGAAAATTACTTACTCTGCCTTATAGTTGCTAATATGACATTTCTTATTTATTATTTTGAGTGAGCCACTGTTTTTATTCTTTGGTGTGAGTTGATTTTAAGAAAGGTATACATTTTTATAGTTCTTACTAAGGTATCAAGCACTCTTTTTTGTGATTTTGCTTAATCTTTACAGCAACTCCCTGAGTTAAGATAATATCTATTATGTTTTTTGTTTGTGTGTGTGTGTGTTTTACAGAAGGGGCTCAGAGATGTTATATGTCTTCCTCAGGGTCAGAAAGTAAGTGGTAGGGCTAGGATTCAAACTCAGTTCGCCTAACTTCATATTCAGTATGATTTTCACTATCCTACTGTGCTGTAAGCCCATTAAGGGGTTTGTTGAATCCACCTTCCAAGTACGAATACTATAGACATTTATGGATGTCTTCATTAATTGAAGACAGATACTTTCATTAAATACTTAACCTTATAAATGAAATGTAAACAGAGCAGTTGTGTTCCTTAATTGTTCTATGTTCATTGATATATTAGCCTCACTGTATTAGTTTATGGTAACAGTTTCTATTCTGTATTTCTAAAAACACTTGGCTTCAGAAGTTACATACAATGGTCTTTTTTATCCTGAACTCTAATACTTGCAAGATGGATGTAAACTTCAGATTTTAGGAAACTGATTACTTTTTGTTAACCTTCTCCTAGAACTTCTAAGTAGCCACATCAGCACACCAGTGATCTAAAATTAGCTGTACCTCTGTGACTTCAACTCTGGTGTCTACCATTTGATTCAGTGAGTCATTTATTAAGAAACAAATTAATACTATATTTTTAGTCATTGTGCCCAGTACTACAGATCATGGTGAACAATAACCGAGATTCTCTCAAGGAGTTTACATCCTAGCAGGTTGTTTATAAATACCCAAGGGATGAAATCTGTGTATTTATACGTTGTACATGTACATTGGCATTCATCTTGTGAGTACTAGGTTGGGGAGTGGTTTGCTTAGGTACAGTTAGTGGAGTTTAAAATCTAGGGATAACTTTTACCAACGTAAGGAATTTACATTATCTCATAAAGTTAATTGATTTGTTTTTTCTTAGATGCAGAGCTCTCTTAGGTTCCTTCGTAATAGTGCAGCTAAGAAAAGAGCAAAACTGAGTGGTAGTACTTCTGATCTTGAAAGTCCTGATTCTGCAATGAAGCTCGACTTGACTATGGACTCTCCATCTCGGTCTTCCTCTCCAAACATCAGTTCTTACAGTGAAAGTGGAGTTTACAGCCAAGAATCATTGACTTCTTCTCTGTCTACAACTCCCCAGGGGAAGAGAATAATGTATTTTAATTTTTGGCATGTTAAATGAATGCTCATCTCTAATTTGTGTTCTAAACCCCTAATTCCATATTTGGAAAACACTTAAAACCATTTATTTTTTTCATTTTTAAAATGTTAAAGAAAAATTTAACAGACAACAGAAAAGTTTACAACTTGACTTTGGTTTAAGGTGGGGTTGGAAAGAGAGAACACAACCCCAGGTATAACCTAGAGCACCTAAATTAATACAAACCCTTTTCCTAAAGCCCCTGTTCTTTCTATCTAAGATCTACTCAATTTTTTTTGTCCTTTAGTTCTTTTCTTGATCATAGATTGACTCTTTTACCACTGTACCTATAGCTAATATTACTGCTTTCATTTTAAACTCAGCACCAATTTCTCTTAATTTATGGATAATTTCTACCCAGCAGTTATCCTTCTATTTCTTGCATCTTATTTCCATGATTTCATAGAAGTTTAGAACTCTGTGCCATAGCTCTCACAGCCTTCTCAGAAGTCTCTCTATAGGAATAATGCTGACCATCCGACACCAACAGAAAATTATTTTTCAGCATAGCAATTGGGTCTAGATTACCTCTATAGCCTGTGAGTCTTAAATCTTAACCTCGCTTAACTGCTGAGTGATCCCACTGTGATTTCTGGGCATCTCTGTGACCCTACTGCAGGATTTTGGGGGAATCCCTTCCACCTTTATTTGGACAAAAACCTGGGAGTAATATTTTCAGGACATAGGGTAGGTGTGTATTTAACTTTTTGAATAAGTGCTAAACAGTTTTTCAAAATGGTTGTGTAAATTTTCACTCTCACAAGCAGTGTGAGAGTTATAGTTGTTTCACATTCTTGCTAACATTTGATGTGGTCAGTCTTTTAAATTTTATTTTCCTTTCATTTTATCCTGAACCAGAAGTAAATATTTAAAATTAAAATTAATATCACTTAAGTGAATTGGAACTTCTAATAAATGTAGGTAAATAGAGATTGCATAATCAAAAGAGAAGTAGTGTTCTAATAACTTTAATAGAAGAGGGTGTTTTATTTCAGCAGTTCACAGAATTAAACTGAATCTTTGTGTCCCATTCTTAGAAGTTTGTTTCAGCCCATGATTTTTCTCTTTCACATTTTTAATTTAAATAGCAGCTTTTTTTGCACTTGGAAATTTTTTTCTTACAATTTCTTTGTTGTAATTACCTAAGTAGAATAATACAACATATTGCAAAATGAATTTGGAGAAGTGATAGGGACCAGTGAAGTAACTGTTCTCATCAAGTTATCAGATATTTAAAATATATATATTTAGCTTTTAGACCTAAGTTCCCCTTTGATCTCTCATGAAGATTAAATTTTGTGATATATACTTCTACAGTTGCAAAGTCATATAATAATTTGGAACCTAATTGGGAGGGAAAGTTTGTTATAACATTCAGCATTCACTATTTCCTGTATTGTCTCATAAAGTTATTCTCTTCAGATACTGACTTCTGTGAGAAGGTAGTTCAGCACACCCTCATTTATGAACTGAATTAGCTTTAATGAATTTAGGATTTCCATTTAAGTTTAATAGCTTTAGAATAGTTCTTAACCAGCTTGCATCCAGATTCATGGCCAAAGAAAGCCACTACTACTTGATGCAAGGCTTTTATCTTTAGGAAGATTAGAGAGGAAAAATTGTTGAAGCCCACCCTTTTAGAGACTGAAATTTTTTTCTTTCATCCAAGTCAAATACACCCAATATAAATGTAAGTTCATAGTAATCTATTCTAGAGAAATTACTATTTCAAAATATTTAACAGTGATTTCTCACTAGGCCCATTGATAAATATGCCTACTCAACCACTAAGAATTGTACGTCTTTGTAAAATCTCTTCTTCATAATCTCTATCACCAACTTACCAACATTATAACACTTTACGATTTAAAACAGTTCTCTTTCACACTCACACTCAGACTTAACATTCCCCTATTATCTTTCTTTTCTTTTTTTTTTTTTGAGTTGGAGTCTCATTCTGTCACCCAGACTGGAGTGCAGTGGCCACTTCCGGCCACTGCAGCCTCGACCTACTAGGCTCCAGCGATCCTTCCACCTCAGCCTTCTGAGTAGCTGGAACTACAGGCATGCGTTACCACACCCAGCTCATTTTGATTTATCGTAGAGATGAGGTCTTGCCAAGTTGCCCAGGCGGGTCTCGAACCCGCGGGCTCAGGCAATCCACTCACCTCAGCCTCCCAAAGGCATGGGATTACAGGCTGAGCCACCGAGCCCGGCTTTTATTGTCTTTCTTTATGAAACAAGGCCTGTAGGCCTTTGTAATGTCAAGAAAGTACAGTAAAGAATAATCTAAGAAGAAAGAGCCATTTTCTAAACTCTCTTGTTGCTGATCTCTTCTTTATAATATAGTCAAGTCTCTATTTTTGTGTAATCATATATGAGGGTAGGTAGTATTATTAGGTAATTAAGAATCATTTGATTTGCTTTTGGAATGGGCTCTATTGGATCAGGTTTTGGTGTTTTTTTAATTTGAGTTATGGTCTCACGCTGTCACCCAGGCTGGAGTGCAGTGGCATACTTATGGCTCACTGCAGCCTCCACCTCCTGAGCTAAGCAGTCCTCTCACCTGAGCCTCCTGAGGAGCTGGGACTACAGATGTGCACCACCACACCTGACTAATTTTTTTATATTTTGTAGAGACGACGTCTTGCTATGTTGCCCAGGCTAGTCTTGAACACCTGGGCTCAAGCAACTCAGCCTCCCAAAGTACTAAGATTATCAGATGTGGAGCTACCATGCCAGACTTTTTTGTTTTTAATTGGAGTCTCACTCTGTTGCCCAGGCTGGAGTGCAGTGGCACGCTCATGGCCACCCCAGCATTGACCCTTCGGGCTCTGGCGATCCTTCTGCCTCAGCCTTCCAGGTAGCCGGAACCATAGGTGCACACTACCACACCTGGGTAATTTTTTATCTAACTGTAGAGACGAGGTCTTGCCAAGTTGTCCGGGCTGGTCTCGAACCCTCGGGCTCAGGCAATCTGCTCGCCTCGGCCTCCCAAAGTTCTGGGATTACAGGCTGAGCCACTGAGTCCAGCCTTTTTTTTTTTTTTTTTTTTAACTCACCCAGGGATCATACAGTACGAGTCAGAGAGTCATTTCCTATGGCAGTCCTCATAAGAATTGACCATAGGTTTAAAAGGTTGGAAGTTCAAAAAGTAAATTAAGAATAACAATTTAAAAATACTGTTAGCCATAGTTTTTCATACTTATTGCTGCCTTATTATCTAAAAGTTTACTGAGTCAATAAAAAGAATAGAGAATGTGTGATATAACTATTGAACAGCTTTAGATCTTAATGTTTATTGAAATTGTTTTGTTTCATTGCAGGTCAGACATATTTCCAACATTTGGATCAAAACCTTGTCCAGCAAGAATTTCTTCTGGAAAGAATAAAAACCCGAATATTGCTGAACAAAGCTCCAGTGCAGGTATTCTGTGACTATTTATAAAAATAATGTATACAAAGTATGATTTGTAAGGGTTGTTTTTTGTAGTTACCAATTAAGATCAATCATTTTTTAATTCCTTAAAAGGCCATTGTGCCAGGCACAATGGTTCACACCTGTAATCCCAACATTTTAGGAGGCTGAGGTGAGAAGATTGCCTGAGCCCAGAGGTCTGAGACCAGCCTGGCAACATGGCAAGACCTAATTTCTACAGTAAATCAGAAAAATTAGCCAAGCATGGTGGTGTATGCCTGTAGTCCCAACAACTTGGAAAGTTAGGCCAAAAGGATTGCCCGAATTCAGCAGATTGAGACTGCAGTTTCTGTGATCACCGCACTTCAGCCTGGGCAACAGAGTGAAACTTGAACTAAAAAAAAAAGGCCACTTTCACAAGAATAAATATTGTATTATTTTTTGAGAGAAAAAAATACCTGAATCATTGTTCTCCTTTTAAGCTCATTGGTATACCTGTGCCTGGCTACCACAACCAGATATTTCAATTTGGGTAGTGTGGGGTGTGACCTGGCTGTGAGGAGTTTTGAAAACTCCCCAGATGATTCTTTGGTTTTTTTTTTTCTTTTGTTTTGGGTGGAGTCTCACTCTGTCGCCCACGCTGGAGTGCAGTGGCACGCTCAGGGCCATGCCAGTATTGACCTGCTGGGCTCTGGTGATCCTTTTGCCTCAGCCTTCCAAGTAGCTGGAACTACAGGCACGCACTACCATGCCCAGCTAATTTTTTATTTATTGTAGAGATGAGGTCTTGCCAAGTTGCCTGGACTGGTCTCCAACCCATGGGCTCAGGCAATACACTCACCTCAGCCTCCCAAAGTGCTGGGATTACAGGCTGAGCCTCCGAGTCTGGCCTACCCAGATGATTCTAATGTGAAGGATAGTTTGGGAACCACTGGGCATCACAAAAAACAATTTCCTTTAAAAACAAAATGTAACTAGTAGTTAAATTTATGTGTATCTTGTGTTAAGATTTTTTGTGAAGTAATCTGAAAGTCTCTAATTTTTTAATATTATTTCTCAGGAGATAGTAATTAGTAATCAATTAGAAAAATATTTGTACTGTAATCTGCTTAGGGTAGGAATTGCATGTGATTCTTCTTTATGATTAATGAAACGATATTGAATTATGAATGAATTGTAACAAATTGGGATATGATATTTAGTTTTGCATGATCTTAATATAAAAGTCCTAACAATTTTAAGACTATATTATAATTAAAGTATTTTAGTATAACTAAATTTTAGTATAAATAAAAAGCTGTGTATGAATATGATTGTTTGCTAAGATTTTAAATTTTTTGTTCTTAAATGTGTCTTAATTTTATCCCCTCTTTTTAATTACCACTACCATGACTTTAGTTCACACCCTTCCTCATTTATTACCTACTTAAGCTCCTAGGTTTTCTCCCCAGCTTTAATCTCATTCACTTTGAAACCGTTTCCCACATACAAATCTGACTATAATGGCCAGCCTAAATTCATTTAGGATGTCCTTTCATAATGTGGTCCCTGCCTTCCTCTGCAGCCTCCCTTCCTTCTTTAAATCTTGTGCTGCAGTTAAATCAGACCATCTTCAGTACCATATACTATCTCTTTGCAGTTGCACATACTATTTTTTCTTAATGAAATCTGGAATCCACACCACACTCTATTCAGCTGTGAAAACAGTTTAGTTGCTTTCTCTGGGAAACCTTCCCTAAATCAGAAACAAGATTATTACCTCTTTTGTGGTACTATTCCATCTTACACTGACATCTTTTATAATAGTATTGCAATTCTTTTACTTTGCCTCAGCTCTCAGATTCTTGATCCTCAGAGATTATTTCTCTTTGATTACCTACTAATCATGAATGTCTGCTTAACCAGGTATGCTGATATAGTGGCTTGCACAAACTAGCATTAGCAAATAGAGAGTTACTCTGCTAGGCACAGGAAGACACTTGGAGTCTGAAGGATCCCAACTGGAATCCCAGTATTCACACACTTTGCAAGTCACCCAACTGTTTTGAAACTTGGCTCCCTCTTCTGATAGTATACACCTTGAGTATACACCTTGATAGTGAAGATTTAAGTGTATGACATAGAAAAAGCTCCTAGTACATAGTGGACACTCAGTCCATATTTGTTTCTCTAAAGAGAGATACTGACCCAAAGAAATATGTAATCTTACCCTTAATCCTTTTTAAGGTTAATCAGCCTAATCTATTTATAATTTTACATTTATGTAAGATTGAAGAGATATCTGATTGTTAGGTTGTATTTAGTTTGTAAAAATGGAACCCGCTTTTGGAAGAATACCTTTGGAAATGGAAAAGAATAGATTTAGAAAACTTGGATTTGCGTTCCCCTCAGACCCTAGTTATATGACCTTGGGAATCATTTAACTTTTAGTAGAGTGATTGATCTAAACAATAGTACATACTTCTATATGCAATAATTAGTGGTTCTCAAACTTGCCTAATCTTAGGGATCACCTGTGGCACATGTAACGCCTATAGATTCTGGGGCCTCACCTCATACCTCATGAATTCTTCTTTCTGGTTAAACATCTTTAGCAATTTTTGGCCGGGCTTGGTGTCTCAACCTGTAATCTCAGCACTTTGGGAGGCCGAGGTGAGTGGTTCCCTGAGCCTGAGGGTTCGAGACCAGCCCGGGCAACTTGGCAGGACTTCGTCTCTACAATAAATAAAAATTAACCGGGTGTGGTAGCACGCGCCTGTAGTTCCAGCTACTTGGAAGACTGAAGCAGAAGGATCGCCAGAGCCCAGCAGGTCAATGCTGGGGTGGCAGTGAATGTGCTACTGCTCTCCAGCCTGGGTGACAGAGTGAGACTCCAACTCAAAAAAAAAAAAAGTTTGTACCAGTTTTTAACACATAAGTTAGTTACTTCTTGGCACCAAGTTTTAGAAACACTACTGTTATTGAACTCACTATAAGATATTCTTTTAAAAGATTTATTTACTTTTTTTTTTTTTTTTTGGTAGAGACGAAGTCACTTTATATTTCCCAGGCTGGTCTGGAACTCCTGGGCTCAAGCAATCCTCCTGCCTCAGCCTCCCAAAGTGCTGGGATTATAGGCCATAGTTATCATGTCAGTCCTTAATTTACATTTGAGTGTTTAAGTTGATCATCCTTCACCTAATAATTTGCAGCTACTATAACCACAAACTGTCAGATGCAAAATTCTATATTTGAGTCACTATCCATTTTTGTGTGTAGTTCCAGTGTGGACCGTTAGACAATAAAAAAATGTATGAGAAGGGACCTTAAAAAACCTAGAATTTATTTTTTTTTAATTATGTATTCTTATATGTTTAAACTTCAGTCACCTTCAAAGCACTCTCCATTTGATCCAGTATACCTCTGAGATGCTTTTTCCACTGGTCAAAACAGTTTTGAACTTGTCAGTTTTGATGCCTTATAGTGCTCCCACTATTTTCTGTTTTAGCCCTTCCACATCTGCAAAACATTTTCCTTTGAGGACTTTTTTCATGCAGGGAAACAGAAAATAGTCACCCAGGGTGAGATCAGGTGAATCCACAGGGTGGGACATGGGGTCATGTCATTTTTGGTCAAAAACTGCTGAGCTTGGTGTTGACAGGTGAGCTCATAAATCACCCATCATGAAATGGGCTAATGCATTGAAAGAATCTCCAAAAAAACGCACTGAAGCCAAACACAGCCTCTACAACAATGCTAGCTGATACACTGATGCTGATGAGTTCCTAGAACACTTACTTAGCGGGGGATGCCTGAACTACAAGGGGCCAGCCCTCCAAAAGATAATTTGGTTTTTGGGGGGTACGCCCTCGTACTTTGTTTTTTAATAATGTTGTATCTTAATAAAAGCAGGATGGTGGGAAAGGAGGTATATTGTGTGTGGCACCTGAGCTAGAAAAGACTGTAGAATAAAGGGCACTAAGTCCATAAAAAAAAGATTCAAGAAATATTTGATAATAAATGATAGAAAAATTGTGAAAGTAACATAGATCTCTTTCTAAATTTTTAGTTGTGAGTATTAATTCATAAAGTAAGACTCAAAGATACTGGCTTTGGATGGACATGTTTTCTGTTAATATGTGATACTAATTCTGTAGGTGAAAAGTTTACTACAACAACATTCAGGAAACTTAGCACAATTTGCTGTAATAGGTAGTGGTAGAATATATGGAAACCTTTACGAAAATACCGTATAACTTTTAAATAATTATTTTGTAGTGGTAGAATATATGGAAACCTTTACGAAAATACTGTATAACTTTTAAATAATTATTTTGTTTCTGTCTTCAAATATTCTTTATTCTGAGTATTATCATTTTATGTTTACCAGTTAAACCATAATAAACTTACAGAATTGACTTGCTTACTGAAAACAAGCAAACCAAATATATAAAATACTAAAGTAGATGGGCTCAGCGGCTTTGCGACTATATCCCAGTACTTTAGGAAGCCAATGTAAGAGAATCCATTGAGACCAGGAGTTTAAGACCAGACTGGGCAACATAGTGAGACCTCATCTCTACAGAAAGTCAAAAAAATTTGCCAGGCGTAGTGTCGTGTGCCTGTAGTCCCAGCTTCTCAGGAGGCTGACGTGGGAGGATTGCCTGAGCCCAGGAGTTCGAGGCTGTGGTGAGCCATGATCTCCCTGCTGTTCTCCAGCCTCGGCAACGGAGTGAGACCCTGACTCAAAAAATAAAAATAAAAATAATTAAAATCCTAAACTATTAGCAACTTAGTTTGAGAGAATGCTAAATTTAATTAAGAATATCTGACTTCTCTTATAGTCTGACCTGCTCAGGAGTCTGAGATAGGAGGGTCCTTGGAGCCTAGGAGTTCAAGGCTGCATGCAGTGAGCTATGATTGGGCCACTGCAGTCCAGCCTGGGTGACAATGCAAGACCCATTTCAAAAAAAATGTGAATTAAAATTTTTGTTGTTTGTTAAAAGGAGGTCTACATTAGGATTTTGCTTTTTTCTAAATTACAAATATAACATTTAGGTATTTAAAATATATTAGGCACTGTACTGAGCTCTTTTCATGTATGTTCTTCACTTGATCCTGATAACAGTTCTAGAATAGGTCCTACAGTTATACCTATTTTTTAAATAAGGTGAAGTGTCTAGCCCAGGTTTTCTCAGCCATTGAAGGGACAGTGCTATGATTTAAATCCAGGACACATGATTCTAGATGCTGAGCACTTAATCACTGTGTAGTTTACTGCCTCATCAGCAAGGCCAGTAGGGGCCTAATACATGGAAGTAGGAGAAAGGCGAGAATGGAGTCCATATCAAGCGCATCTCTCAGCCTGTGGTTTTAAAATGTGGGATTTTTAAATTTTTCTTTTTTTAGTGTAAAATTTAAAATGTCATTTAAATATTAAATACTTGTCAGATTCTGAAAACATGTACAGTATATTTTGTTATCTCTTTCAAATATTGCATTTTGGATTTCGTTGTAATTTTAAACCCTGTTTTATAAAATATTATACATAGCTTATAATAAATATTCTTATCTGCTAGTAAGATAAAAAATATGATATAATTTAAAATAGGATAAAGCTTTTAAAAATACTCTAATGTTACAATTTTTAATATGTTACTGACCTGAAATATGTTAAAGATTAAAAGTTGAGATAGAGGGGAGATAAGTACCTACCGTATATTACCCAAATTATTCAAATAAATATTTATTTTATTTTATAGGGATTACACCATCCAGTGTAAGCGTAATTGGCCAACGTATGAACTATGAGTTTGCATGTGGTGATTTTGAAGATGATAGGTCACATGGCATTTCATCTAGTGCTTTAGAAGTAAAAAATAAAGAACACCCCAGACATTATAAGCATACAAAAGGTTAGTAAATTTTATGACAAATTAATTTTTAAGATTGGATATTTCTAATCAGAATCTTCCTTAAGCATACCAGTAAAGAAAAATTAACTGAGAATTCTCAGTTTTGAGGGTTTTCATCTTCCACTTCTGCTGATGTGTTGTTGCTTAAGTAGTTTTGCCAAATGAGAGAAGTTTATGTATGATAAGTTTATGTTTGATTTGTGGGCTTGCCTAAGGAGCCAGTGCAGGAGTAGAGCTGCTGCTCTACTTTTAATTTGGAAAATAGGGAATTCCTGCTGATTTCTAAACCCAGGATATGCACCAAGTACACACACAAATACACACAGAGTTTTTGCAAGACATTTTACCACTAAAATGAGGTGGAGGACATTATATGAATTAATGCCTCCCTGATTTTCTGTTAGGTTGTAACTGTGGAGTAAAGCTGTGGCGATGGCAATGTGATCTCCCTGTGGTAGAACCTTGGAAAGCTTCTTTGTCATCACCAACCATTGTTAACAATTTTCTTTTTTAATTTATTAGCAAGTATCATCTCTGTGACTGCTCTGTCCATTTCTTAAGAGATCCTGTTATAGGTCCTTTTTAAAAACTTCCCTTAGAGTACTTTGAAGGTGACTGAAGTTTAAACATGTAAGAATAAATATACATTTTTTAATAAATAAATTCTAGGTTTTTGGGGGTCCCTCTCATATGTGTAGACAATCAGGACATGAATATTTTGTTGTGAAAGTAACTCAAATTGAGTGAGAGAACTTGATTGGAAAATTTGTTTTGTAAATTTCTTAAAATTTAGTTTATGATGTAATTTAACATCTATGTGGCAGCAATAAATTGTTCATTGTTTTCACAAAAGAAAATACTAGGATTTTTCCAGATTTACTTGTTTTATTTCTCTTGTAAAGAAAATCAGGGACAAAAAAAAATACTTTTCTTTGTAAAAGTAACTCATGTCTTAATACAATTTTTTAATATTCTGTAAAAATTGCTTTGAAGTAATTGCTGAGTATGCTTATTCACTGCTAATGACAGCCTTTAAACAACAGTCATAAACTTAATTATATCTTTTAGCCAGCAGTTAATTCTACTCCAGAACATTACTTCATACTTGTATATCCAACTCTAAACCAAATACCTACTACTATAGATATACCTTGACAACCTGCAAACATGGTCAAAACCAAACTTACCTTCCTTTTCAGACATATTCCTCTTCCTTTGTTATCCATTTTTATTAGTAATATTACAATTTTCCCAGTTATGGAGGCTTAAAACTTTAGAGTCATCTTTACCTATTTCTCCTTGCCTCTTAAATTCAGGCAGTGATCCATCCTATCATTTCCCCTCAGTCTAACTTAATGTGTCTGCTGCTGCAGTTATAATTACAAAAGCCTTATGGTGGCCGGGCTCGGTGGCTCAGCCTGGAAAGCCAAGGTGAGTGGATTGCCTGGGCCCATGGGTTCGAGACCAGCCCAGGCAAGTTGGCGAGATCTCGTCTCTACAATAAATAAAAAATTAGCTGGACGTGGTAGCGTGCACCTGTATTCCACCTACTTGGAAGGCTGAGACAGAAAGATCGCCTGAGCCCAGCAGGTCGACTCTGGGATGGCTGTGAGTGTGGGTGCCACTGCACTCCAGCCTTGGCAACAGAGTGAGACTCCATCTCAAAAAAAAGCCTTCTGGTGAGGCTTGTCTCTTATTAAAAAAGCCTTCTGGTGAGGCTTGTCTCTTATTTTCATCCCTTTTAAATCCAGGCTGTATAAGGTTCCAGAATTTTCTTTCTAAAATACAGTTATCAGCTCTTCTATACTCAAAACCTTGATTGAAACGTAAAATTAACCATTGGGGAAAAAAACAGGCTGAGCGTAGTGGCTCATGCCTGTGATCCCAGCACTCTGGGAGGCCAACGTGGGAGAATTGCTTGAGCCTAGGAGTTCGGGACCAGTATAAGCAACATAGCAAAACCTGATCTCTACAAAAAAATCAAGAAATTAGCCAGGTGTGGTGGCATGGCACACACCCAGCTACTCAGGAGGCTGAGTTGCAAGTATTACCTGAGCCCAGGAGTTCCAAGCTGCAGTGAGCCATGATCATACCACTGCACTCCAGCCTGGATGACATAGTGAAAGCCCAACTCAAAAAAAAAAAAAAAGAGAGAGAGAGAGAGAACAACAACACAAAAACCACCTTGAGTGATTTTATTATTTTCCACAGAATAAAGTTCTAACTCTGTAGCATAACTTTTAAGACTTAATAATCTTGAAGTTTCTTAAGAGTAAAAATGCTGTCATCTTTATAGCCCCATTATGCTTTGTATATTATGTTCAGTGACCACTTGTGAAATTAATGTAGTGGTGATTAGCCAATCAAAACTAATAATATAATAGGCCAATCACAGTGGCTCCCACCTGTAACCCCAGCACTTTGGGAGCTGACGCAGGAAGATTGCTTGAGGCCAGGAGTTCAAGATCAGCTTGGGCAACATAGCAAGACCTCGTCTGTACAAAAAATTAGCCAAGTGTGGTAGTATGCATCTGTAGTCTTAGCTACTTGGAAGGCTAAGGCAGGAAGATCACTTGAACCCAGGAGTTCAGAGTTAACAGGGTGCTACCCTGCCTGTAAAAAATAAAACAAAAAGCAACACTAACAGTGTAGCCTTGGACCCAGTCACTCAAAAATTAAATCCTCAAATAATCAGGTTAAAGTAAACACTGAGCTCAATACCAAAGGGAATAAAAAGACTTCCAAAAGAAATATTGTCAGTGAGTGGCCAAATTGATTTTTTTTGGTAAGAAACTCAGAAGTTTTTAGGATTAACTCTCAAAACCTTCTCCTCTTCTTCCCCTTCCTTTTCTCTGTTGACTGTCCCTTTGAACCTGACCATTTTCTACATAACCTGAAGCCCAGTTAGTGACTTGAGAAAGCGATTAATGGTAGATGCTTGGAGTATTAACAAACTAGATCCCATGAGTTAATAATTTCTCTTTCTGTATTTGAATTAGAAGTAACAAGGAGAAATTATAAAGATATCTGTATGTGAAGAAAACTTTTAACATATTTTTCTATGTTAGACTTGAGACTTAATGAGCAAATCTCTTTCAACATTTTTTTGTTTAGAAGAAAATGCCATGTAAAAATAAATGTATACTAAAAATGATTCTTTAGTATCAGCTTCCCTTATTAAAAAAGTTGAAATACTTAAAGATAACATATTCTTCATCTTTTTCCTTGTGTCTTTGTGAGATTTATTTAATTATTTATTCATGTCTTGGTGACTTATGTATAGATTTTATGTTTGTGTGGACTATTGAGCAAATTGGTTTATTTACTGAGGTTTGCTTCCCTTTGTCACAGAACACCTTTTTGTGCTACCTGTTGTTTCTACTGGTTGGTGTGTCCTGTAAGAGTTCACATTAATTTTGATTATTAAAACTTTACTTAAGAAGGAATATATGGAAAATGATCACCTACATGGGTTTCTTTCTTTCTTTAATCTCTGCCATTTTTACACAAAGCCAAAATAAGTTTATTAGCCATAGCAAGTTTGCAAAACAATCTATTTGCTCCAATTTTTAAACATCTGCTGAAATTTTTAGAAGTATTATTTAGTTAAATTGACCAGTAACTAATTGCTTTTCTTTTACATACCATAAGTTAATTATATTGTGCTTTTTATTTATTTTTTTGGTTTTTTGCCTTGACACATTCACCTAATATATTTTTTGAATGCCTTCTATGTACCAAGCACTGATAGTAGGCTCTAGGAAAGAATGATAATCAAAATTGGACATGGATCCTATCTCTATGAAACTTACAGTCTAGTAGGAGAGAGAATAGTTAAATAATCAGAAACTGAGATAAATGTTAACCTAGAAAAGTATATAGGTTGCTGTGAGATTGACCTAATCTGTTAATGGATGTCAAAGGATTTCCTTCTTCACCCTTTTGTTTCCCAATTATCATGCCATGATTATTTGGTTTCCCACCTCAACCTTGGCTGTGTAAACTCCTTTAGGAAGGTTTCTTTTTCTGTTTAGTGCCTAGTTTGTATGAGGTATTCTAATTGTAAATATTTATTGAAGTAGTGAACATGTGTGAGTAAATTGTAAATTATTTGTATGAAACAAATTTTCAGTTTTACAATATCCTAAAGCACTATGTAATAAGTAAATATTTTTAAATGTTTTTGGACTTTTTTTTAGGATTTACAGGGTCATCATCAAATTCACAGCAAATTTCCAGTTTTGACTTCACTTCCACAAATATCTTATCAGAAGATTCAGTAGTAGTTGTTGGAAAAGGTATTTCAAAGTTGCTTAGCTTTTTAATTGTATATGTTCTTTACACATAAGCAAAACATGTCAATAAACAACAGAGAAGACTGTTACTCAAGTGTGGAGTAGAACTTCTTTTTAAAAAATCTTTAAATTGAAAGAATTAGAAGTACTAAGCTTCACGTTTCTATCCTCTAACAGAACTACAGGAAATTCATGTCAGTAATTTTCAGAGAGATGTATTATGTGACAGCTGCAATTTAGGTACTTCTAAGAGACAGTTTTAGGATAGCTAAGATAGTTTTAGCATAGTTTAAATTCAAATAGTAATCTTTATTTATCAATTTAGTAATTGATATAAATTAATATAGTTATATTATCTCCCATACAAAGTCTAGACAAATTAAGACTGGGCACAGTAGCTCATACCTATAATTCCAACACTCTGGGAGGATGAGGTAGGAGGATTGCTTGAGGCAGGAGTTTAAGACCAGTCTGGGCAACATAGTGAGACCCCTATCTCTATAAAAAATTTAAAAATTGACCGGGTGCGGTGCCTCACACCTATAATCCCAGCTTTTTGGGAGGCCAAGGTGAGAGGATTGCCTAAGCCCACTGCTTCGAGACCAGCCTGGGCAACTTGGCAAGACTTCATCTCTACAATAAATTAAAAAATTAGCCTGGCATGGTGATGTGTGCCTGTGGTTCCAACTACTTGGAAGGCTGAGGCAGAAGAATCACCTGAGCCCAGCGGATCAAGGCTGTGGTAGCTGTGAGTGTGCCACTGCATTCCAGCCTGGGTGACAGAATGAGACTCTGACTAAAAAAAAAAAAAAAAAAAAATTATCCAGGCACACCTAGCCCCAAGCTACTTGGCAGGCTGAGGCCTGGAGTTGGAGGTTACAGTGAGCTATGATCACACCACTATACTCTAAAGCTACTTTCTTTTTCAGTTGAAAAACTAGAATGTGATATATTGAGGGTGTACATTTTACTTTTGTCCGGTATAATGAAATAGAATAAAATTCTGTCTTTCCTAACTTCTCTGCCTGATAGTCTCATTAGGTTAATTTAAGGCCCTTCTCAGATTGACTCTAGCTTACTCTTGCAGACTTATTTTCTGTCATTCCTCTATTTGCCCATCCAGACTAATTTAATCACTCTATATACATGCTTTATACTTGCTTGGCTCTGCATATAAACATCCTCATCTCCTTCTCTCCTGTCTTCAACTCCCAGCTCAAATCCTTGGTCCTTGAAACTATCTTAAACACCCAGCTCATGCCAGCCTTTCCTTTCTATGAATTCAGCATTCATAATGTGCAGTTCTCACTTGATATTATTATCGTGAACTGCCTTCTGGCACCTCTTATATTATTGTCCTGTTGGGGTATTTGATTTTATATTTTATAATTATCTTGTCTTTCTTACTAACGGTATTGTTTGCTTCTTGAAGGCGAGCCTTGTCTTAAACTTTGCTATCTAAAGCTCAATAACATAAATACTTAATGACTATTTGGTGGTTGGTTGATTTCAGGCGTATTTGGAAGTCTAAATTCAGCACTGGCAACCTGCAGCCAATCAGTGATATCTTCTTTGGAAAATGGGGATACATTTTCAGTTAAACAAAGTACTGAACCACCATCAGGGATTTATGGAAGAGCAGTTCAGCAAAGTATTCCATCATATCTTGATGTTGAGAATGAAAAAGATGTAAGGTTATTTTCTAATTATTAGAATAAATTTAAGCTTACAATAAGTCATTGTTTTGTGCATATCAGATGTGGGGTGATGAAAGTATTCCAATTAAAATTTTAAAAATCTTGTTGATATAATTGAAATTTTGATCCATAATTATTTGAATAGTAGTTTCTCTCTTCTCATTAATTAAATGCATTCTCATTCTGGTAATAAAGTATCTCTATGCGTTATACTCTGTGTATTTTGTACTTTATGTGTACTATACTTGTACTTTGTATACACATATGTTTAAGTATGTACATATTCAACAGTCTTTTAGTATATACTCAAATAGTGACAGACTAATATCCTCAGGCGCAAATTTAATTGGATATTAGCACTATGTAGGTCTATCAGGTTTTAATAGTCCTAGAAATATATAGTTTATTTTGTAGAGGTACTTAATGTACAGATAGAGTTATCTAAGATGAAGATATTTTAAATGTCAAACTCTGAATATTTTCAAATATTTCAACTTTTTCATGCAGACTAAAGTTTCTGTTTCAAAATCTACCTATGACAAGATGAGACAAAAGAAAAAAGAAGAAAAAGAACTTTTTAACATGAAAGATTGTGAAAAGAAGGAAAAGAATTCCTGGGAACGAGTGAAACATAAAGGAACTGAAAAAATGGCATCTGAAAGTAAGTGGAGTTTAAGTTTTGGTACTTTTTTTCTTGTAATATTCTAAAGCTGATGAAATATGACTTAACTAAGAATGCTATATGACTAAGAATAGAGTATATTGACCTATGACAACAAAATTTATAAGACCCAGTAGCTTCTCTTATAATTATATGTAACTTATAATAAATATTCTTTCTCTCTATAGAAAAAAATGTTAATTGTTTTTCTTACTTTTAGACTTAACTGTTTTTGGAGATGAAGTGGGGCTATTAAAAAATGAGAGTTCCCCTTTAGAAAACATTGCCTTCAGCCCTCCAGTCAAAGGGTCCAGCTTAAAACGGTCATCATCTTTAGTGTTTTCAGATTCAGGTAAGTCACTTATTTAAATGTAAAGAATAAAGTCACAAATGCTTGTTAAACTGCAAAGATGCTTGTTAAAGCAATAGACAGAACTGACTTCTTAAGTATCAGTTCTGCCCTTAGTTAGCTGTGTGACCTGGAAACAGGCCTCAAGTTTCTGCTGCTATAAAGATCTAAATTATCTCAAAGGTCTAGATTATCCCAAGGATCTATTTCATACTCCCTGGAAATATTTCTGTGTTGCTAAGGAGTTACCACTACCATTTTATAGTTAAGGTAACTGAGATAGTGAAACTGGTTTATATTACATCATGATCAAAAAAGTCATTGCAGTTGTCATTTATTCAGCCTGTCATTGAGTGCCTGCTTTGTTATGTGCTTGGCCAAGAGCTTTCTTTCTTTCCTGTGCTATTTTTTAAAATATTGAGTAGATCAAATATAGTAGATCTTTGGTATATAGTAGATCTTTGGTATGCTAGGAAAATTCAGAGGTTGAAGTGAAAAATTGTGTGAATTATAAAAACATTAGGCCGGGCTTGGTTGCTCAGCCTGTAATCCCAGCACTTTGGGAGGCTGAGGAGAGTAGATTGCCTGAGCCCAGGGGTTTGAGACCAGCCCGGGCAACTTGGCAAGACCTCATCTGTACAATAAACTAAAAATTAGCTGGACGTGGTAGCATGCGCCTGTAGTTCTGGCTACTTGGAAGGCTAAGGCGAAAGGATCACCGGAGCCCAGCAGGTCAATGCGGGAGTGGCCATGAGCATGCAACGGCACCCCAGCCTGGGTAGCAGACTGAGACTCCAACTCAAAAATAAATAAACAAACAAACGAACAAACACTAGGTATTATTGCTTGATTGTTTAGTGGAATATTATTAATTATTACTAAGAAATAAACTGTGTGAACTGTAGTAGACATTCTTAAATTTTTGTTGTATTTAAAGTCTAACTATCAACAAAATTTCCCGAAATTTAGGAAAACATAGATACTATAAATGTAATTGGGCAACGTACTTCTCTTGGAGATAAAGATGAAGGAGATTTTAAACTAAATAAACGAGGTTCTTTTTTTTTTCTATAATACAAGAAGTATAGAAACTGTTTTAAAATTCTGGGTTTTCAAAGCTCATAATTGTTGAGAGTATGCCTGTAAGAGTTGTTGGCCTGTAAATTTGCTGGCTAACCATAGTCTTAGAACCCGTTAAATGTAGACATTTGTGAAATTTAAGCCTACTAGCATTCTCAGTTAATTTTACTGTGTGTTAATGTTTTATAATCCAGAGAGAGAAAACGCCACAAAACTTCTTAGCTAATTTAGCCAATGTCTGAGTAGAAAAAGAAGTTCAAAGAGTAGCAAATAGCAATGTCATAACTTTTGAGTATTCATCTTTGCTAGAGACATCAGCTAATTTTGTGACTTTTGACCATAATGTCGACTTCACAAATTAAGTTTCTAAGAAGTATAAAGAGAGTGCTTCCTTGAAGTCATGCTTATATTATTTGAAAATAAGAATATATTTACAAAAATTTTATGTCAATCAATTCAAAATATAAATGTTTAGGGATAGGGTGGGAGTAAGGTGAGGAATGAAAAATTATGTATTGAGTGCAGTGTACACTAGTTGGGTGGCGGGTTAAAGCCCGTGCTTCTTCACCACTATGCAATTCATCCAGATAACCACAAACTAGTTGTACCCATAAAGCTGTTAAAATCAAATAAAAATTTAAAGAATAAATGTTTAGCTTTATTAAAATTATTAACTTATTAACAGAAATAATTTCTAATAACTAAATTCTAATTAGATATGCCTTCATTTAAGAAGCTTCCTGTTAGATCACTGCTACTCAAAGTATGATCCATAAACTAGATGAACTGTTTATTGCTCATCTGTGACAAAATAAATTTTAAAAATATTTAGCATTTAGAAACTTTTTAAACTTTTTAACAGTCTGACAGTACCACATACTTTTGTTATGTTTTATAAAAGTACTGGTCTACAACACAATGGAAATTAAAAACAGACAAGCAAAACAAAAATTTGGTTTAAGCTGTACTACTGTAGACTGAATGCTGTACACTTACTTTTCCAAAATAATATTTTTCAGATGAAAATTAAATAAGGATAGGTGATGGTACTTGATACTGGTATAACCTCAAGTTTGAAAATTTGGTGTTTATCTGCATCTCATCCTAAATGTGTTATTCTTGGATGAGGATGGAGTGGATTAGGGATAGGAAGGGAATTCTTCCAACTTCAACACATGTTTCTTCATCTGTAATGTAGGAATAATAATTACTACATAGAGTTGTTGAATGAATTAAATTAGATAGTGTAAATGAAGCACTTAGCACAATGCTAGAGAAGGTAATAAATGATAGTAGTGCTATTTTGTATTTGCTTTTCTTTCAGGATTGAGATATTCCAAAGCTGGAGGATTTTCCTAACATATTTCAGTCTTTCTTATGAAGCTTAATTAGTATACATTTGAACCATCAAAAAAAGAAAATGTATCTATTGTATTCTTTAATTGGCATATCATCTTCCCCATATGTGATTTACTGTAACAGAAACTGATACTGATTTATCACTGTAGTAATCTAAAGCATCATATACTTACTTTTCTTATCAAGTATGTGATAAACTTTTTGAAAGCAGGGATTGTGCCTTAGACCTCTTTGTATAAAATCATAGGCCAGGCACGATAGCTCACACCTGTAATCCCAGCACTTTGGGAGGTGGAGGCAAGAGGATTGCCTGAGCCCAAGGGTTCGAGACCAGCCTGGACAACTTGGCAAGACCTCATCTCTACAATCAGTCAGAAATTTAACCAGACATGGTGACATGCGCCTGTAGTTGCAGTTAGTTGGAAGGCTGAGGCAGAAGGATTGCCTGAACCCAGCAGGTCAAGGCTGCAGTAGCCATGACGTGCCACTGCACTCCAACCTGGGCGACAGAGTGAGACTCCAACTCAAAAAAATAATAATAAAATAAAATAAATAAAATAAATAAAAATAAAATCATAGTAGACCGTATACATGTGCTGTCTCTGAACCAAACAAATTTTTTAGCCTTTGTAAAACTCACTTATTTTCTCAGTGGCAAAAATAAAGAAATGAGTGTGTCTCCCTCAGCTTTGCTGAGATAATAAATGCAGAAAAGTTTATAAAGCATTTATCACAGGGTCTGGTACAAAGTGGCTAGTAAATGTTAGCTAATATCATTAATGCCTTGTTGCCTATGGATTTTAAATGATTGAGAGGACCATCTTAATATGTAATTAGTATGCAACATCAAGTGAAATT